CAAATAGGTACTTGGAGCAAATTAGGTTAAACCCAACCATCAACAATGGGGCTCTTAGAAAGACTATTGCTGTTGAATTGGATATTGATGTGTCCAAATACAAAGCAAGTAGGGCAAAAAAGAGGGCATTGAATATTATAGAGGGAGATGAAGCTAAAAAATATTCTAAGATGAGGGAATATGGTGAATTAATCTTAAGGACAAATCCAAGAAGCATTGTAAAATTGTGTATTAGGCCTACTGATGGTGATGAATCAATTAGGACATTCCAGAAATTTTTTATTTCTTATGTTGCAACGAAGAAGGGATTTACTGATGGTTGTAGACCAATTCTTAGAGTTGATGGTTGCTTTCTAAAGGGACCACATGGTGGTCATTTGTTCTTAGTTGTGGGCTGTGATGAAAATGATTAAATGTTCCCTGTTGCTTTTGTGGTTATAGAAGCTGAAACAAAAGATTCGTGGTAGTGGTTCATGGAAGTGTTGATGGATGTTATTGGCTTTCATTATGACATTACATTCATGTCAGATAGGCAAAAAGTAAGTACTTTAGTTTCATTTTTTTTCCCAGTTTTTCTATAACTATTCTGTAACTTTTGTGGGACATTTCAGTCATAATTTTTTATTTTAACTTTCTGTTGTAAGGTTTGGTAGACACACTTGATACCATCTTGTATGGGCGAATCATAGATTCTGTGTGAGGCATTTATGTGAAAATGTTAAGCTGAAATATAAGGGGCAAAATCTCAAAAATACTTTGTTGGAAACAACTTAATCATACATAAATGCTGAATTTGATAAGCATATGAAGAAGATTAAGGACATGAAAGCTGATGTTTATAAGTGGCTAAAAAAGGTGCCACCTGAGGTTTGGTCAAGGTCCAAATTTACTAAGAGGTCAAAATGTGCTTTTGTGCTCAACAATATGTGTGAGTCTTAGAATGCAGTCATTTTTCTTACAAGATATAATCCTATCCTGTATATGTTGGAGTGGATTAGAAGGCATCTCATGTTAAGGTTTGAAAGTAAGAGGCAGTGGATTAATTCAAATTATGGGTTGATATGCTTAGGAATTCAAAAGGAATTGAACAAGAGGAAAAGGGAAGCAAGAATGTGTACAGTTAAGTATACTGGGTATGAAAAATATGATGTGCAGTGTAGAGGAATTGGAGATGTAATAAACATTGCTGCCAAAACATGCAATTGTAGGCAATGGGATGTAACTGGTGTGCCTTGGATACATGTACCTGTATGTTCTTTTATAAGGAATGAACTTCCTGAGATATATGTGCTTCCCTACTATCACAAAGATACATATTTGAAAGCCTATGGTGGCATAATCAACCCTATGCCTATGAGAAGACTGCTAATAACAGAGCCCACATCCCCAATCCATCCTCCAACCTTTAAGAAGCTAACTGATAGACCAAAAAAGAAAAAAAAAATGATGAGCCTACCAGTTCAACCCATCTGAGCAGCTCAAAAGAAAAACTGAAGTGTTCAAGATGCTTGGAATATGGCTATAATACAAGGACTTGCAAAGTTGCAGAGCAAGTAGTTGTTGAGAAAACTCCACCAAAGAAAGGAGGAAAACCACCATAAACATTTAAATTAACTAGAAGAGGTAAAATGTCAAGCACAAATGCAAATGGTGGAGGGCAACTATTAGAACTTCATATGGTACGTCTGTTGGACTTTTAAAGCAATCTCATGAGGTATAACTAAACTCATTTTCTTAGTTATTTTAATAAAAATTAAACAATCTCAATATTCTATCAATAAATAATGTTTTTAATTTATTACAGATAACAAATATATCATTTTCTCAATTATTTGAAAGCTAGTCATCAACTTCAAGGTGAATTAATGTTGTATAATTTCTAACTAAGATTTTTTTAGATTTCTAACTATCTTCAATGTTTTTGCAAGCCAATGATAAATGATGACTATGCTTGTTGGTGAAGCAGTTAGTAATGTTTTGGTGTTTTCTTGAATTGGGACAAGTACAAGCAGTTGAAGATTGCAGGTCAATGATAAATGATGATTATGCTTGTTGGAAAAGCAGTTAGTAACTTTTTGGTGTTTTCTTAAAATGGGACAAGTAGAAGCAGTTGAAGACCTTGATATGATGAATTAAAATGTTGTTTTTGCTCTTTTGGTTTGTGAATAAGTCTCTTTGGTTTAAACAATCTTTTTTGTGGTTGGTGGATACCTGTTGATCTGGGATTATTTTGGTTTAAACTTGTTAAATATGGTATGGTACTCTATTAATATATTGGGTTAATGTGTAGTATCTGTAATGCACTTCTATTACAATTGGTTATTGACATTGTATGACACAGGGAGATCAAATTTCACATGCCACTATTACACTTGCACTGCCATATGTTATTACAACACATGTTTTATGTCACTTGGTTATTAACACCACTGTGGCACAGAGAGATGAAAATGCACATTATTGGCACCACTGTGACACTTACATGAAAATACACATTATTGGCACCACTATGGCACACATTGTATCATTTAATTGAACTGAGACATCATGTAGAAGTGTACCAAAACATGAAAAATTCTTCTTCCAAAGTGTACCAAAACATGAGAAATTCTTTTTATAGAGAGTCTTTTGCACACAATTTTGTCTTTCCAAAACTATCATTCAATATATTGTAGCATTGAAGACATTGTAACATCTAAATAGAATACACATACATAATAGAGAACCAAAGTCAACACCAAAACATACATGCAACCCTATTAAATATAACGATACAAAATAGAACCCAAGTCACAGCAACATCATTACTTAACCTTTATACACAAAGGCACAAACCAAAATTAGAACAGAGAGGGAACAACAAAAAAAGCTTCCAATTAAGAGAGCCTTTGCAATTGTAATAAATAGATCCACCATAGGGCCAACTGGTGTTGGTGGCAGCTCCATTGGTGATGGCAATTGTAATGCAACATTATAGCTTTCATTAGTCGTCGCCTATTTCCAATATTTGCATGTCTCAGTTCGACATTCAAATATATCCTACTAGGATTACTACCGGAGTCAAATATGTAAACCGCCACCTTTAGCCCACACCAACATTTCCTATTATATAAGCGATCAACTAGTGATAATGATGCCCTTAATGATGAAGCCATTTTCCTGCAGATCACCAAATTATTATTGACAAAAACAAGGTGGATTGATTTATACTTTTTAGTTATCCATTATCAAGTACAAGTCCACCCAAGGGGTCGTTTGGATATATAAATAATCGAGTACATAAATATTTTGTATTAAAATTAGGTCAAATTAACTAAATAAATAAATAAATAACAAATCGTATTTTTTTTTTCCATAAATCTTACTTGGTGTATTCATATTTAACAAATATTTATCTTTTAAGATTCTCAAACTTATTTTTGTATATATTCAACAAAATATCTCATTTTGTTGCCACATTATTTTATATGAATCTAATAACTCTATATCCAAATACAAATATTTTTTTCTTAATGACGACGTACTAAATCAATTAAAATTAGCCATGCAATTTGTCATTTTAAAGAAACAAATTTTTTTAAATGGTTCCATTCAAATTGATAAGGAAATCCAAACAGATCACAAGCAAGTTGGCCTCCTCACAAATTACCATCACAGTCAAATAACTGAATGGCTGGGATTTATTAGTGTGCATGCATAGTAGATCACCAAACAAAAGAGTGATAAGATGCCAAAAAGAGCGATACAAAGTCACAATGCTGAGAGAGAGAGAGAGAGAGAGAGAGAACCGGATGTGGAGATTTGATAACGAATGAGATGGAATTGTTGAAAATCGATGGCGAACGAGAAAGGATTTGTTGAGATTGACTGTTAGGGCTTCAAATTTTAGGGCTTCTCTGATAAGAATGCGTATATATGTATATATGATGAATATATATAAAATGTTAATATAATACGTAGTCTATAACAGTAATAAGGGTATAGATGGTATTCTAAATCTTGACCAAGGCACATGGGTCACGTGCTTCCTCTACCTGTTAATTCTCAAACGGTCAACTAACAGAGTTTGATTTCTTATAACAAATTGAATAGTTTAAGGAGTTAAGTGTATTCCTTAAAGTTTAAGGGGATCTAATGAAAAAGAGAAGAAAGTTCTGAAAGGTTTAGTGCACTTTACCCTTAAAATAACTTGAAGAAGCTCTTCAGTACATTGAGCCAAATGGGCTTGAGGTTGGCCTTGTGTTTGAGCCCTTATGTTCACATACTCAAATCCGTTTTCAGCCTTGCGATTATAGACCGTGCTAATAGTATGGTAATTATAAGTCTACAACCATACCAATACTGTCATGGTCCTGAATTATTTATTTGAAATTAGTAAACTTGACGGTTGATCTCAGTAGTATTTGTTAGTGACTGATGTAATAATTAAAGGTTGAGATAAAATAATAATAATAATAATTCTTTCTGCAAATATATTTTTATTTAGTTCAGAACTAAACAATTCCAATCATAACTCAACAACATATAAGTAAAATAACCAATTTTATTCAAATTTTGTTTGATGTGTTAAATTGTAATTTTTAAGGAGGATTTAATTCCAAATCATGTAATATAATTTCTCTCGTACCTGATAAGAGAACCAACTGCGAGTTGAGTAGACAGTCCCTTGCAATTAGGGTCAAAGGTTTGGGGAGTCAATTCCCTAACATTACCCTGGAGATAAAAAAGCTTATATATATTTTAAATACTGAAAACAAATTTTTTTATCTCATAAGATTATATTAATATATTACAAAAAAAAATTTCACATTAATTTTTATTAAATTAGTGTATCAAGTATCAAATGGACGACATTTAATAATTTATCCTTTATTCAACCTTATTTTTAGATTGGAAAAAAAAAAAAAAAAAAAAAAAAACCAATTCTTTTTAATAGCTTTACTCTTATTTATTTTTATTTTGGGGTAGCTTATAGAAGAGACTATAGTCCTGGAAGGTGGAATAGCGCCTAGATAAGTTCTGAAAGATATTTTCCCTTGCCCTTCTGTCTCTCTGTGTCTCTCTCATCTTTCAAAGCTATCCGAAAATATTAAATAGAAATGTTTTTGTGGTCGAACCAGTTTCACCAACTGAAACCCCAAGTATGGCATGTTCTCTACCCTCCATATCTGCAATTTCTTTAACCAACCGAACATTACACAGTTTCACCAGAAGAAATCTGGGTGCTATGAACACAAGAGCCATTGCTAAAGAGCTTTACTTCAACCATGATGGTTCAGCTACAAAGAAGCTTCTGGTCACATTAATTTCACAGACAATTGTTTATATATAGATTTTCCACAAATTAATGTTAATTAGGATGCGCATTACTAGATATAAGTTGTTTTGTTTTGGTGCAGGCAGGGGTGGACATGGTAGCACAGCTGGTTGGGGTCACTTTGGGTCCAAAAGGGAGGAATGTGGTGTTGCAGAACAAGTATGGACCTCCCAAGATTGTTAATGATGGAGAAACTATTCTCAAAGAGGTAAAAATAAAAATATATAAAATAAAATAAAATTAATACCCACGGCTTTATTAATGTTTTTGTCACAATTTACAGAGATATTATTTGTTTTGCACACTCTTCACGTTCACGATTTTCAAAAGGAAGAAATGGGTTGCTCCCCAAGCTATGTGTTGCTTATTTTTTTTCTTTCTTTTTCCTAATTTTTTTCCAGTTTCTATTTTTGTTAATTTCACTTGGATTACATTCAAATGGATGATAATTCCATTTGTATTTATTAATGTTAGTTAAGAAAAAAGTTGTATGATGATAATTTATTAAGTTGGAAATATATATATATATTTTTCATTTCAATTTTGTTTTGTTTTGTGTTATTACATGGATATATATTTTTCACATAATGGTTAGACCATTGTGTGTTAAATGCTGAAATATTGAGGAGCTTGGCTTCTCTTCACTTGCAATTTTCTGTTTGAGTACTTTTTTTTTTTGGGTTAAAACTCTGGTTGAGTACTTCCATATCCTAAATGACATTTTTTTGTTTCTTATAGATTGAGCTAGAAGACCCTTTGGAAAATGTTGGAGTAAAATTGGTGAGGCAAGCTGGTGCAAAAACAAATGATCTTGCCGGTGATGGTTCTACTACATCAGTAGTGCTTGCTCAGGGTCTAATTGCTGAGGGTGTCAAGGTATGAAATATGAATGAATGCTGTAACTAGGGTTTGTCAACATATGAATGAATTCCATCTCTTCATATGAAACTTTGTATCATGTAATTTACCAAATTTCGCCTTTCACTAGGTCATTGCAGCAGGCATGAATCCCATTCAGATATCGCGTGGGATCGAGAAAACTGCTAAAGCCCTTGTTGCTGAACTTAAATTGATGTCCAGAGAGGTAAACAGCACTATCACTATTCTTTCATCTCTTGGAAAAAAAAAAAAAAATCAGAAGACATGGAAAAACAAGATGTCTGAAGCATAGAATTATTAATTTCATGTCTGCTAAATTTCTTTAACAATGCAGGTTGAGGATCATGAGATTGCAGATGTTGCAGCAGTTAGCGCAGGAAATGATTATGAAGTGGGAAACATGATATCTGATGCCCTTCTAAAAGTTGGAAGGAGGGGTGTGGTCACAATTGAGAAAGGGAATTGTTTCGAGAACAGTCTGCAGATTGTCGAAGGGATGCATTTTGATCGCGGATACTTGTCTCCTTATTTTGTTACTGATCGACAGAAGAAGATAGTGGAATTCCATAACTGCAAGGTAGGCCTATTAGTTGTGTTATAGTTTTGCTTGTTTTCATATATATGGAGTAACTAGAGGGTGTGGATTCTTTGTTTGCAGTTGCTTTTGGTTGACAAAAAAATCATGAACCCAAAGGAGATGTTTAAAATATTGGACAATGCGGTTAAGGAGAAGTACCCAATTGTGATAGTTGCAGAGGGCATTGAGCAGGAAGCTCTGGCTCCGATAATTAGGAACAAACTCAGGGGCGTGCTGAAGGCAGCTGCTATTAAAGCTCCTGCCTTTGGCGAGCGCAAGAGCCAATATTTAGATGATATTGCTATCTTGACTGGAGGTAGTAAAACAATTACTACAATATAAGATTATTAGTATCTTTTCATGTTAATAGTTTTTGTATGTCGATCTTAACAACACCTCCGAAGATGAGCTTGTGAACAGATGGTTACATGAGAAACCAATTCCAGTTCTTTTATACAAATGGACCATTATGACTGCGCTAAAGTGGTCCCTCTTTGAACTTCATAGTATTTGTAGGCACAAAATCATCATTTACGATAGGGTCTCTTTAAAACATAGCATCAGTACTAATAATAATCTTATCATCGCAAGAAATTATGATAGCACTAGACCAAGTTATCTGTTGCAAATCCAGAAAACTAATTTTTCATGATGTTTTTTTTTGAAGTTGTCTAAATTTACTTCATTACTAGTCTTCATATTTACACATCTTAAGTCCTGCAGGGACGGTAATCAGAGATGACATGGGGTTAACCCTTGAAAAGGCTCATGAAAACTTATTGGGCACTGCTACTAAGGTGGTGATAACTAAGGATACTACATTAATAGTTACCGATGGAAGCACTCAAGAGGCTGTCAAGAAGAGGGTTACTCAGATCCAAAGACTTGCTGAGGTGCACCAGATCTTTCCTCTAATATTATCTATTCTGATTTTTGTTTTTTTGTTTTACAAAGTTCCACATATCTAGTTGCAAAGTCAATAGTTGAAGCAAGATATTTAATTTATTATCTCTTTGGCCGCTTTAATGAAAATGATTAAGAGAACATCATCCGCATGATCAGATCCAGAACTGTAAAATTGCAATGGAAGAAAATACTCAATTTTCTATTGTTTATAATTAGTTGACTAAATAGAACTTTTGGGAATTGGGACCGACCAAATTTGCACAAGTATGTTGGATGATTCTTTATTTTCATCTTTCAGCAAAGTTCCTTTGTAAGAGTTGGAGGTAGGATTGTGAAGGATATCATAATCTGTTTTATTATACTCCATTGCTTGCATTTTGTACATCTTTAGCCTTCTTATGAATACTGGCAGAATGGCTTGTTTTGCAGAACACGAAAGAAAATTTTGAAAAGAAAATTTTGAATGAAAGAATAGCAAGGTTATCAGGGGGGATTGCTATTCTTCAGGTAAGCTGGAAGTTAGCTTCTTCACAAACTGGAGTTTTGGGGAGTGATTTTCTTACAACCCAATGCATCTAATGCTATCGACTGAAATAGGTAGGGGCACAAACACAAGTTGAGTTGAAGGATAAACAACTGAGGATTGAAGATGCTTTGAACGCAACCAAGGTAGATACTTGCTCTCGTGATGTTTAAGTGGTTAATTCATCAGTTATTAGTAGCTAGCTCTTGCATTCTATTATATTACAGGCAGCTATTGAGGAAGGAGTTGTAGTTGGTGGCGGCTGTTGCCTTTTAAGGCTGTCTTTAAAGGTGGATGGTATCAAAGAATTTCTCGACAATGCTGAGCAGAAGGTAGCTCCCTTTCCCTTTCTGTTATATATTTTTTTTCTGTTCTGTGTTAATTTGGGTACTTCAATTGTTTTTCTCAAAACTTGATATACAGTTGGGACTTGAAATTTTCTATGTTTGTTGATGTGCTTTATGTGTTATTTTGAGTTAATAGCTCAAGTTACTTCTGTTTTTTATTAGTAACAATTCATTTTCTCCGTCTTGTTAAAATTTCCAAATCCGTCAAGTAGCATTCCATTTCTTCCCATTATTTGTTTATAGAAGTTCTAAATCTTTGTCCAAAAATGTGCATACAGATTGGAGCTGACATCTTTAAAAGGGCTTTGGTCTATCCTGTGAGACAGATAGCCAAAAATGCTGGTGTGAATGGGAATGTTGTCATAGAGAAGGTCTCGGCAGAATTTTGCATTGTTTTTATATAAAATGTTGACCTTTGAATTTTTTTAATGTATCTAAAGTAATTTAGCTCGGAAAATGAATCCAATAAGATGTTTTGTTGAATCCTGTTACATTTTACAGGTTCTCTCCCTCGATGATATAAGGTATGGATACAATGCAGCAAGAGACCAATACGAGGATTTGATGGCTGCTGGAGTTTTGGATCCATCAAAGGTAATACCACTGCCCTTTTAGCATGATGGGATAGTGAACAAAAAGGATGCATGCTTACAACATAATAACACCTATATAGAGGTAGAATATGATTTTGAACATGTAAAACATGTATTCATTAATATTTTTTGAATATCTGGTCTGACAAATTACACCAAGCCATGTTAGAGGAATGTTCTTGGACCAATTGGCTCCTAATTACTATGAATGCTTGTTAAAAGGGGCTAACTTGCATTAGATGTATGAATTTGACTACTTTCTCTCTCTCTTTTTTTTGGTTATTTGTTGGGGCATAGCTCATAGAATATTCATGAGTACTAATCAATATTTGGAGCAGGTAGTTAGATGTTGTTTGGAGCATGCAGCATCTGTTGCCAAGACATTTTTAACATCCGATGCAGTTGTTGTTGACATCATAGAACCAGCACCTATCCAAATGAGAAAACCAGTGCCAACATCAGGTAACTTGTTTCTACCTTAAAAGAATCAATGTTGATGGAAGTAGTTCCGGAATAAGTTCGAGAGCTTTTAATCTTTTGCATCCTTACGAGCTTTAACAAATTCCCGCCTTTTTTTTTTTCCTTTTTTCAATCGTGCAGGCATTGGACCCATTGGCTTTTAGTTTGTAGCTGAAGTTGCATAGCTTCATCATTTTGGCTGTCTGGACTTTGCTTCCACCATACTTGAAACACAAAGGATTATGCCGGAGTCATGAAACAGAACAGTCTGAGAGTTCTCATTTTTGGTTAAAGGAACTGATGATATTACTGAAAGCGGAATTGCCAGAAAAGTGGTTTAAATCTGGTTGATTACATCAAATTCATGGTTTTTCGCAACGTAACACGCATATTCACTGAAATCTGCATAGTTAAAGAAGGTCAATCTGATGAAGAGGGAATTTGGCAAGACCTGATGGGGGCTTAGTTTTTAGTTTTATAACTCACATTTGATGGGGAATTTTTTACACCATGTGAAATTTTTTGCAATATAATGATTGAGGATAAATATACAGTGCACTTGGGATCATAACAAAGACAAAACCGCATTGAAGAGCTTCAGAGGAAAATCACCAATGTCATCTGATGTATCAGTCTTAATTTATATGATGGACTAATAAAAAGCTTGGTATTTTCATAAGATTGGTGTAATTCTTGATGCATTTTAATAAAATAATTATTGAATTCCAACCTTTGGGAAATTTTAATTTGCATGCTTGCCCTTTAAAGTAGTAAAATGATTCATGCTCCAAATTTGGAGGATAATCATTGGGTGTTGCCTCCCAGGGGCATAACGGTGTTGGTAGAGATCCGGATGGTAAGTTCTTGAGGTCTTGTTTTCAAATCGCATTCCTGACTTGAATGATGCGTGTGTTATGGGGCAGATATCGTGCTCTAAGAAAAGAAGCCCCAAAGGGCATAACATTGGTAGGGATCTAGGAGGTAAGTTCTTGAAGTCTCACTTTTGAACCGCATTTCTGATTTGAATGGTGCGTGTGTTGTGGTGCCCATACATGTGTTCTAAGAAAAAAAAAAAAAACATCGGGTGTGAGAGTGGGGTGTGGGCCCTGCCACACGACTTAGTGTTGCCGTCATGTGGTGGGGCCTACAATCCGATTCATATATTATATATATCTTATTCGACATTTTCTGAATTCGGAGGATGTATCATTTCTCTTTCAAGTAAGTTATTCAACCTTTTTACAAAGATATAAAAATGAAACTGAATATACAAAAATTGATTGGAGTTAACCGTGTAGCTACTAGCCCCCCAAAAGTGAGAAACTATTAACATTGTTGTTTAATTGAAGATTACAGCTGAGAAACATTTTCTTGAGAAAATGGAGGTAAAAATCTCCGTAGAGAATTTCATTGAGAAATGGGGTTTCACCATATAAATGAAATTTCAGGGAGAAAGAGAGCCAACTTGCCAAAAAAAAAGTTTGATGCTTGTCCCAATGAGATGAAAAGGAAATAAGCTTGGGAGATGAATAAGAGAGAGTGCAGCTAATCCTACACAAAAAAAGACACACTGTCTACTATGTTGTCATCTAGTTAATATAACTTTTATTGCTTCTAAAATAATTCACCTTACCCAAAAAAAAAAAAAAAAATCACCTTAGAACAATGAACTCAAGATAACAATGGCACAAAGTTTAGTTGAACTGTATAAACATTTTCTTGAATTCATCACTTCATAATTGATCTTCTAAAAAATGTCAGTGTCTGGTTCATGTCATGGACTCAGCAGGGATAAGAAAAGGATGTGAAAACTGGACATACCTAAGCAAATGGGTCACTATGGGCCTGTCAAGAATAACACCCTTAGGCCCAAAAACAGTTTTGTGTCCAAAATGTTAAGTGTCATTAAAATGACAGTGTAGCCCTCTTAAGAAAATCCTTTTACTGTATAGTCTGTATATAGGTAAGGGTAATTTGAGGACTTAAACTTTCAACTTATCAAAATTGGGCTCCTTTCAAAGGGGCCAGGCCCATGAATTAGCCCATCTGAATGCGTGTCTGCCTTCCCAAGGCATTTCTGCAACTTCTCATCACGGTTTCCGAAGTTCCCCTCTCTCCGTCTATATATATACGTGTGTGTGTTTTATATCTCTACATATGAAACAGAGAGGGAGGGATAATTAAGAGAGAGAAAATGATGTTGTTGATGGGAGTGAGTGTACAATGCTTAATGGATTTAGTGGTTGCAGGATTTTCACTGGTGATTGGTTTGGGGATTTTCGCATTCATCGCTTCAATTCTTTGCTCAGCTGCTTTCTTCTACAACGCCAAGGACCTCTCTTCTTAATACCCCAAAAACGAAGGTAATCTTGTCTTGGAATTTAACTGAACAAATTTGAGAATTGAAGTCCGTATTGTGTTTTTTCGAGCATATTTGTACCTGGGATTTGAAGGATCTCTTCGCATTTTATGTTTTAGATTTTTAATTTACTTGTTGATACTTGTTATATGATGTTGATTCAAGGGTTTTATTGAGAATAAAATGGTATTTATAGCTGGGTTTGTGGTGAAATTGAAGTTCTTTTGTAGAAATAATTTAGGTTATTTCTGATACCTATTGTAACTTCATCTATGTTTGTTCCAAGTAATATTGATCACTTGGTTTTCAGAGGGAAAAGGGGATAAAAATACACTTTTGAGCTTGATCAAGATGGGTTTATAAATGTGGTGTGTAAAATATTTATATATATTAACAATATTTTGGAAAACCTTAAACTTGTAGCAACAGTCATTGGTCTTTTTGTCGTCCAGTTACACGGTGGCTGCAAATACATCTCATAGTTTCAAGTTGGAACTTCTAGTAGAAAATGTATTTTATAATCAGGTGTAAATTGAAACAACCAAATTACTGTTATCTTGACAAAGACTCCGGATACAATGCTCATCAATGTCAAAATATCTTATTCTCGATTTCCTCATTTGCAATTTTTCCTTTCTTATTTGCAACAAAAAAACAGTTACTCTCGAGAGTCTACTGTAGGCAATCCCACACTAACAGTCATACGATTCCTCTCTTGTATTCCTGCAGACAAAGGTGTTAATAGAAATTTGTGAAAGGACTCCTCTAAGAATAAGAGAGCCTAGACGCCTCTAAAAAGGATTTGTTTGGTAACAAATGTTGACTTCTCAGAATTTTTGAATGTCGCTATTAACTCTTTAACGGAAATATGAATTAGAACCTTCAATTGTGTTTTCCACCTCATTTTGCGGTTCTCGATGTTGATGTTTAACGGAAAGCATATTAAATTGCTGATCTGAGAAGAGAAGCCTCTGAGCCATGTTTCAGGTAAGAGTGCTGTCTCATAGTTTATCAAACTGTGTGATCTATTGCCATGTTTCAGGTAAGAGTGCTGTCTCATAGTTGATCAAACTGTGTGATCTATTGCTGATTTTCTGTAATTGCCACAACAAAATTTAAGAAATTATGGCTCTACATTAAGGTGAAATAATGAAATGGTAATCTTACGATTTTAAATAAAATAACTGCTTATAGAAATTTGTTTCATTTTATATACCGTCTCTAATAATTTTAGCATGATTAATTTTGCTTTAGTAGTTGAATGTTTATCAGCAATGCCTACATATTACATGTTGGTTAGAGTTAGCATATTATTTTTAGTCAAAATAAGCCAACCAAAGGTAAGTTTAGTGTTTGAGAGGAACGCGTGATATGATATCAATTATAGTTACTATAGGATTTAGTCATAGGTCTATTGAAACTTCTGCATATTCTTAAAAGTGCCATAGCTTGCTTTTTCTAAAGCGAGAAATAACTTGCAATGTATAAGATGTGTAGATTGTTTAGATTGTTGCTGTAGAAATTGTTAATGGATATGTGAAGATGGCTGGCTTCATTGAAATAAATTGAGAACTTAACTGGATGGAAGTAACATGTAAAATTTTCAGTCCATGCCATAGAGATGATTTCCTTCAAATTTTTCTTTCTGCGGCACTGCTATTGCAAACTGATTTTTATAAAAACTTTTTTGTGCAAATCAGTTGGAGCTGCAATATATCAGCATTCAGTAGTAATACCCTTTGGGGCTTTGAACTTATATAAAAAAAAAAAAAAAAAAACCTTTGGGGCTTTGCAATATAATCAGCATTTAGCAGGAATACCCTTTGGGGATTTTTGCCTCCTTCTTCATCCTTGTGTTTTATGACATTCTTACTGCCTACTTCAACCGATGTTCAATCGTTATGTTACTTTTCAGTGGGTAGGGGAAAGAAGTGATTGTTGGTTGATCTTGAAATTACCTCTGATTCAGTTTTTCAGGAAAGATTCTATTTTGAAGTCACGAGTTGAATAAACATGAAAGTGGTCTGCTTTTCTGTGCATCCTATATTATACCTGCTTTGACGATGAGTTTGGTACCTGTCAGCTCAGATGAGCACAACACAAGAGAAGCAGACAATGAAATTGGGTGACTTGTCATCTATCGGATTGTATTGTTTTATGTATTAGCTGAAAAAGGTATGCAGATTTGAGTTCATATACACTATTCGTGTTGTATGATGCAAGCAGTGTTTTGCAATGGTTTTATGCACATGTAAAATGGGGTGGATTACTATTGCAACTCCATCATCAATATTTGCCAAGAGAATGAAGAAAATTTTCCAGTAGTTTCTTTTCTTTTACATATGGTTTGGCAATGTCAGATGTTGGTTCCCAATTGCAGTAGGCTGCAAGTTCGTTTCTTTTACATATTGTTTGACCCCTCCCCAATTAAATAGTACAATTACATGTATACTTGATACAGAACCTTAAAATCGTAGCAGGAGTCTGAACGACACGAAATTCTAGAGGGTAGGATATAACTACTACCACCCTCTCGGATGACTCTTTCAATCTGTAAGAGGGATGACTCTTCCAATTCGTGATGGGCAAGGAAAGGGAACCAGTCCCCTAGGTGGACACCACCATCAAGAACCTTCCACTGGTACCACACTGGTGTCACTCCTTTCTTTGCAGTTATGACACCGTTCCTAGTTGTGGCAGAATCCTGCATCAACAATTCTCTTAATTACTCTATTTGTTTCGGAAACTCCTATATATATATATATATATATATATATATGTATGTACAGTGGTGTTCAGTTGCTCCTAGCACACTAACTGCCCAGCTACTATACATCTTCTCTTATTCTCAAACTTTACACCATTAAAAACCTACCATGCACTAAACGATTTCAAGGAACAACTGGGAGGCAATCATTGAGAGTAAACAATTTCAAGGAATAACTTGGAGGCAATCATCGAGAGTTGATGTTATGTTCTTGGTAGACTTGAGCTTCATCTCAACCTTTTCTATTCCTCTTTTCTATGATCTCTTTTGATTGTTGGCCAAGAAAATAATACTGATAATGGAAATGAATCCAATTGATTACTGCAAGACAAGACCGTACCTTCATACAACACAAGCATCTTCAGGCCTCCTTCAGACCCCAATTAACCCTTTTATAGTGTTCTAAAATTGTATGCTAGAGAGTGCCTAACATATACGTATAATCATTTGTGGTTATATTCATTGTGTCACCTCTCAGGTCTTCAAGTGTTAAACTTGGCACATAATGGTACAACTGGATTTATCCCGAAGTGCTTTGGAATGCCATGATTGTTGATCACAGTAATGATTCTCCTGATCTCATCTAGTTGAAGGTTACAATGAATACATTTATGCTTATTTGAAAGGAAGAGACCCGGAATACACCAAATCACTCCAATTACTCACTGCCATTGACCTGTCTGATAATTACATAATTGGAGAAATTCCTGAAGAAATAATGGGTCTTGTTGGTTTGAGAATTCTGAATCTATCATGGAATCATTTAAAAGGAAAAATCAATGAGAAAATTGGAAATTAGAAATTATTGGAATATCTTGATGTGTCAATAAACCAACTTTCCGGTCCAATCCCTCCAACTTTGTCGGGTTTGAACATTCTCAGCTATTTAAATCTGTCTTTCAAAAACTTATCTGGGAAAATACCAACAAGACAGCGACCAGAGACTTTCAATGATCCGTCCATCAATCTTGGCAACGATGGACTTTGTGGACCACAAATCTGTAAGAGTTGTGCATCATCTGATGGTCATGAAGATGTTCATGAAAGTACTAAAGATGGAGAGGACCTCGAACTTGTAAAGTTCTTTTTATGGATTGAATTTGGTTTCTTGGTACTTCATTGGAGTTTCTGGTATTTTTCTTTTCAATAGGCCTTGGAGGCATGCCTACTCAGTTTGTGGAGGCATTGCTGAGAAAGTTCCACAAAGAAACATTTGCAGGATAAATTTCTCTCTAAAATGGTCAGTCTCTAGACTCTCTACCTCTTTTCAACTCTCTATACTATCACATGACAAATTATACACATTCATATGTATGGTTTAGATTATTATCCAATATCATATATATGTTCTCTTGTTTGGTCTTATGAACTTCGGTGGGTGTTCTTGGTTTTAGACTCTCTTAACTTTTGCCTATATGAAACTTTTTAGATATGCTCTTATTGCAACCTGGAATCATTAGCCTTATTCAAGGTCTATGCAATATGTCTTTTTCAATTATTATCAGAATCTACGCAAGTATTTCTTTGTCTCGGGCACATGAATAGATGTGTGTGCGTTATCTTTCTAATTTTGCTTTAACGGTTGTACGGTTATCAGCAATGTCCCCTTATATTGTCAAACTAAGTTAGTAATAGGCAAACCAAAGGTAACTTTAGCGTTTGTTTGTAACACATGATCATGATATGAATGAATTATAGGATTTAGCAGTAGTTCTTTTGAAAATGATGCATATTCTTAAACGTGTCATAGCTTGCCTTTTCTAAAAAGGGAAATAACTTACAGTGTATAAGATGTCTAGACTGTTGCAGTAGAAATTGATAATAAATGCATGAAGTTGGCTGGCTTCATTGGAATAAATTGAGAGATTGGATGCCTGTGTCATTTAAAATTTCCAGTCCATGCTATTGAGATAATTTCTTTCAAATTTTATTTCTCCAGCACTGATACTGCAAACTGATATATATATATATATATATAATTGTTCAAAGCAGTTGAAGCTGCAATATATCAGCATTGAGCAGTAATACCCTTTGGGGCTTTTTGCCTTACTCTTCATCTTCGTGATTTCATGACATTCTTACTGCCTTACTTCAACCGATGTTCAATTGTTATATTACTTTGCAAGGGGTGGGGGAAAGAAGCGATCGATGGTTGATCTCGAAATTATCTCTGTTTTGGTTTTGCAGGAAGGATTCTATTATGAAGTCATGAGCTGAATACGGAGGATACGTGCATGTCAGCTCGAACCAGCATGACAGAAGAGCAGCAGATAATGAAATTAGGTGCATAGCTAGCAAAAAAAGGAATGCGAATTTGAGTTTCAAATACACCATTTGTGTTGTATGAGGCAAGGAGTGATTTGCAATTGGTTTTGTGCACGTGTAAAATGGGGTGGATTTACTTGCACTATTGCAACTACCCCATCATTAATATATGCCAAGAGATTGTAGAAAATGGTTTGAGATTTTACTGTTCTTGATAATGCCGAAGTTTCTTTTCTTTTACGTATGGTTTGGTAATGTTGGGTGTTAGGTCCCAATTGCATTACTGAAAATTAAAAATATAGGGGATTAACAATTCAATGTACCATGTGCCGTTTGTTGTCATGCCAAGAGTGTGTCCAACAAGTATCACAACTAAAATCTACATGTGACCTAAACAAACCTAATTCAACTTTTAGATTGGTAACTTTTTTTTTCGAAAATTAAAACAATTTACTCACCCACTCTGCCTCATCGTAGGGCTGCAACTCGGGTGGGTTTGAGGTATAACTTGAGCCTAACCCAGCATAAGAAATGCTAAACCTAAACCCAACCCAAACACTAACTTCAACCCTAATTACTCAATCCATCCTTATATTTTTAAATTCAGGCTTGTAATTCAGGTTTTAGATTTCGAGTTAAAATTTAGATTAATTCGTGTTACTTATATGACTAATTTTCACACCGAAAATTTAATAAGATCTTGAATTAGTTTTACATTAAATGACTCTTAACAAAAAAAAAAAAAAAAAAAAAAAGCTTAAAAATATTTTATAAATTTTTAATAAATTACAAATAATTATTAGAAAATTAATTCTCTTAAATGATAATATAGAATAAATTAAGATTTAACAAATGAAGTTGAAAATTAAAAAAAGGTAATCATAGTTTAAATATTATATATAATGTATTTAAAATTAAAAATATATATGTAATAATATTATAATTCGGGTTTGAGTTTGCTTGAGTTGCTAGCATCTCAACCCAAACTCAACCCTAATTAAATTTGGATATAAAATTTTCAACTTAAGTCTAATCCTAATTATAAAAATGGTTGTCCAAGTTCATGAAAATTGAGCTGGATTTAGATTGAGTTCGGATTGCCCAACTCAAGTTGCACCCCTACTCCACCGTTGCAAAAATAACATTACTCCTTTAAACACGGATAAAATTACCAATCACAAAATTAAGGAATTAACTAACTGATAAAAAAGAATAACTTGGATTTACTTTCACTTCTTTTTCTGTTTACTGGAGTACACCATTCCTCGGATCCCACCCGGATCCGCAACAAAACCCAAGGGCCTATAGAACCCCAAAACTCGGGGCTCCGAATACAAAGCAATATTAGTAACCCCTTTCCGTAACAGCTCCTCCAACAATCTCTCCATCACAGCCTTCCCTAATCCAATCCCTTGGAAGCTGGGGTCCACCACCACGTCCCATATGATCGCGTTGAACACACCGTCGCCTGTCGCTCTAGCAAACGCCACAGGCCTCCCTGTCTTCTCGTACTCCACCCACAGCATCGAGTCCGTGTTCTCCAGAGCCACCCGGATCTTATCCGGGTCGCGCTTCGGGAACCCGACGGCCACGAAGACGGAGTTGAGGTGGTCCAGGTTCAGGTCGGCGATCGATCGCCGGAGAGTGAAGCCTCGGGATTGGAGATCTTCGTCGGAGATTGCGTAGTTCTTGATCGGTAATTGGGCTGAAACGGCGACGTTGCGGGGGTACGTTTTGGGAGTCTTGAGAGAGAGTGATGAACGGAGAGGTATGGATATGTTTCCGTGAAGAAGCATTTTTGAGATACTCAATTTGAAGAATACGTAGAACAAATGTGATGAGATTATTATGAAAGGTACGTTATATCCATTCTCTGTCTATGAATGTTATGTGTATTTGTGTGTGTATATATACACTAAGTGTGTGTATGGTTTTGATTCTTCTTGAAGTTTTGTGGCTCTCGTGTACCGTTTTAATGAGTCTCATATTACATGTGCAAGTCATTATATCCTTTTATGTTACTATCATAAATTTAAATGGTTGGGATTTGTTGATCTAATTTTAAGTTGTTATGATTTTTTTTTCCCCCTTTCATTATGTCATTCAAAGTCCAAAACTTTAATCTATTTTTTCATGCGAAAGTTATATTTTGAGAGGAGTTACAGGGTCAAAATAGTATATTTTAGTAATTTTGTTCTAATAATGCATTTCATTTAAAATGTTATTAGTATATTATTTTCATCCACTTGCTATATTTTGAGAACGATACGAATGAGAAAAAAGAGACTTCTGAACAAATTTTGAGACCTACTATATATGATAATATTTTTGACCATCTCAAAATATAAGAGGTCTTTTAAGAGTTCATTAGAGTGCATTACTTTTAACTGTGAGAGGCCCTTTGAGAATGCATTGGATATGCTCTAAAGCATAAATAGAGACACTAGACATGAACACGAACACGTTGTGACACTAATAAGTTAGATTTAACAAATTATAAAAATGCAAAATATGAATAAGAGATCGACACTGGCTAATATGAATCGCAACTAATAAGTTTTACCTATCAAATTATAAAAATATAAATACGAGATAGACACCGACTAATATGAATCTAATGAATAAGAAACTCATTGAATGTTAATTAATTAATAATTTCCATAACGAAGTTTCTAAGAACATGAAGCTATTAGAATATATATCAAAAAAGTTATATTATAAATATTACGGAGTATATAGTTATTTTATAAAGAAAAAGATGTTGGACACTTTGACAATTGTCATATGTTTGGGTTCTATAAGACTAAGCCGTTGTTTGATAACTCAATTTAGCATTTAATTCTAAATAGACTAAGCGCTAGCGTAATTTAAATATCAATAAAAATCGTAAATGCCACTTAAAATTGGGTAAACTTCTTAATGGCATAGAAATCACTTACCACTTACATTATATAGATATCAATAAAAATTGTAAATACTGAAAATTTAAAAAGATATTAAAAAATATTTATTTTTTAATTATCACTTAAAAATTTCAGCATTTAAATTTCAGTTCTTAAAATTTTTAGTTTTATCGAGCATCACCTAATGTGGGATATGTTAGTCTAAGTGTCAGGGACCGAAATGTGTAGGTTAAGCATCTAAAATAATAAAAAATATTTTTAATTATGGAAACGGCGATAACGACTATAAAGTGTCAGACACGCATTTAGGAGTGACCTTGAAGTATTGATATTTGATACGGTGTCAGACATAGACACGACGCCTTTGTAGAAGTGCCCGTTCTTAACTTTCATGTATAAGTTATTTGAAATACAAATAGTCGATAGAAACAATCACTTGTATAAACAAAGACAATGCTTAGGGTTCATAAAACCTGTTATTTTCCCTTCATTATATCATATATGACAATCATAGCTATACATAGCAAGTAAAATTAAAGCTTCTATGAGTTTTTCTCCATACAATCAACGACCACTAGTAATGAACATTTCCGTGATGGTCACCGATAGCTTAGAATCCTTGGACTGGGAAGCAGGATTGTGTGATTTGTCACAATCATTGAGCCCTGCCCGGTACTCTTGATTCAAAACAAGAGCGTCCAAGTTCTCAGGGAGTGAAGCATCACCCTTTAAATACTGCAAGACTTGAGACATGCTTGGCCTAATTGCTGCCACAGGGTGAGAACAAAACAGTCCAAGCTTCAACACCAATTCCATCTCCGGCTCCTTCAAATCATTCTTTAGTTTGAGATCAATAGTCTGCAAGATTTCCTGTTTGCAATAACATTCTGCTACCCAGTCCACTAGAACCACCTCTTCGGGTAGTGCTCGTTGCTCCACCGGCCTCCTACCACAAACAACCTCCAAGCAAAATGCTCCGAATGCAAAAACATCGGTGTTTTTTGTTGCCTTGCCATTTCTAGCAAGCTCGGGTGCAATGTAGCCCAACGTGCCAGCTACATGAGTTGTTTGAGGATCGTTTCCGCGAGCAATACACCTTGCCAGCCCAAAATCGCCTAATTTTGCATTTAGTTCATCATCCAATAAGACATTGCTTGCCTTGATATCTCTGTGAATAATAACTTCCACCCATTCTTCATGCAAGTAAGCGAGTCCTGAAGCTACGTCTTTGATGATTTTGAGCCTTTGATTCCAGTCAAGCATGGCCTTTGGATCATTAAAGAGGAACTTGTCAAGACTGCCATTGGCCATGAAATCATAAACCAAAAGCAGCTCACCCTTTCGTCGACAATAACCAAGGAGTCTTACCAAATTGGGGTGTCTCACCCTCCCAATTGTGGCAATTTCTGCTACAAATTCCTTCATTCCTTGTCTAGATTTGTGCGAAATTCTCTTTACAGCAACTTGAGTATTGGACACGGGCAGCACTCCTCTATAGACCTCACCAAAACCTCCACTCCCAAGAAATTCAGCATCTTTGAAACCTTTGGTGGCTAGAAACAGATCCTCGTATTGATACCTGTGAGGACCATATTGAACCTCCCAATCCTCCACTATATCAGCAAATTTAGCTTTTCTTTTCCCCAAGAAAATAATGATAAAAATTGTTGTTGACACTGAAACTACTCCAATTGCAGACAATCCAATTTCTAAAACTTTTTTTTTCTTTTTGGATTGTTTTATGCGCGGAATAGATGGAAGGTGTGAAATGTCAAGCTCTTCGGCCTTTCCATTCAACTGAAAACTCCATCCCAAAATGTAAGTGTACTGTTTCAAACGGCATGTAGATGAAGAAAACCCCACATACATTTGGTCTAAGATGAATGGTGAAATATCAATTTTCAGTGACAAGAGTGGACGGCTGGGCTTATCTATGTTGATGGGAGATATTGTGACATTAAGTTGCTTCTCCACACCATCATAATCCACCCAAGCGCGTGTTAGATCCCCGCTTTTAAGGTATAGGCTCTTGAATTCACCACTCTCGTTTGAAAAATAAGCTGCAGGAATGGATTTGATTGATGCCAAGCTGTTAATGTCAATGCCAACATGGTTATCATTGATATCATTAAACTCCATGTTTTGTTTTGTGTCAAATTCGATGGCAACAATATGGTTTGATGGATTTCCATAATTTGATTTATTGAATAATCCGAGATATTGATAAGGTAAAGCTCCGGGTATTTCGTTTGAGGGCGCGATGACAAATGCCATTCCAGGGCCACCAAGTTTGATAAACTGAGGGACAAGTGAAAAAACAAATGCAGTGGAGAAAGAGAGAGCGTTACCATTTGACGAATTCTTGAAGCTAAAAGGCTGGGAGTAGAACGCATGGCCAATAGTGCCTGGGTTTCCGTTGGTGAGCTTGAAAAGACCGTCACGCCTGACCTCCGCTGTACCACCTAGCATCAAGTTTCCATTGAAGGTGAAACCACCATTGATATTAGAGTGTGCCACTTTGATCAGGAGAAGGAGCACCAGATGAATCTTAAAGAACATGACAGAAGACTTGAACTTCAAATGGCCGGCCTGTGTTTACTGAAATTGTGTTGAATGAATCAGTTGTTTGTGAGCAATCATTCTGCCATGAAAAGACAGAGTTGTAAGATGTATTTGATTAATGGTTAGTTGTGTGTGATGAAAGTATGAACGAAAATCAAGTTGGGGCGAAGACTTGGAACTTCAAATATCCTAAAGATGTTGTATGTGACGAAAGTATGAAAGAAAATTAAGTTGGGGAGGCGGAATTTTTTATTGGGAAAATGGGGTGGTGGAAAATTCATAGCAGCCGATTTGGACTCTCTAAATATTCCATCCGAATGAAGCTGCTACTATAATGTCATTCGGACCATAAAGTCAAAAAGCAAGTGGAAACGTCAAGTTTAACTTGAATCCTTTATTTGTAGTACTAAGAATTGAAAATTAGACCGCAGAGTCGGAAGTCTGTGCCCGTAACGCACGATTGTTAATTTGTTATGTAAAATTATATAAATTAATTACACAAAACACTCCTCTTGTTATGATTTTTTTTTTAAATTACAAATGAACCTTACAACTGAAATGACTAAAAGGACATAAAAATATCTGTGTGTACATCTCACTCAAATCTGTTCATATCTGATTGGTCTAAAAAATCGATTTCTGTATGTATGATTTTCGCGTGAACGATTTCTCTTTGCTTGTTTTCCAATCGGATTGATTGTCTTGCGTGCTCTTACTAGCAGAGAAAATTCGGATGCATAGTACTAAAACATCTATAATGTACTTCTTAAATTACGAAAGACAAGTAACACTGGATTCATATTTTTTTTTAAAAAAAATTATTATGGTCAGACCTATGTGTATTTACCAAATTATTAATTTATGTAATAAGTAAAACCTATAAAATCTTATAAGGAAATTTCTGAAATGTATTTATCTTATAATTTTAACGAAATTATTAATTTAATACTTTGACCCAAGTGGAGAACCAACGTAATTATTTATTAAAAAAAAAAAAATTTATTAATTTATCTAACATATATTTATAAAATTATTAATTTATCTAACATTAATTTATAGAGGTCATACTAAATAGGCCCTCAGTAAGACACATAAAAATAATAATAATAATAATAAATAAATAAAAACCTTAAATGTGCAGTATATAGTATTCACGTGTTATCACACAGTAATTGTATTCCCATGAGATTATTATGAAAGGTACATTATATCCATTTTCTATCTATGAATGTGTATGTGTATTTGTGTGTGTGTATATACTGTGTGTCACATATATGGTTTTGATTCTTCTTCAGTTATGTGGTTTTCGTGTTCATGGGGCATTCCCCAGGAGAAAAAGCACCGGGCAGTAAGCCCAAAGCAAAAACAACCACAAAAAAGGCAACATGCCCCCAAAAAAAAAAAAAAAAAAAAACCAGATTGTCCAAATAGTTGGGCGGGAATTCATCAACAAGATCTACAGTGTCTCAGCATTGGTTTGGGAATTGGCTATGGTAATTGTGGTTGTGGTTGTGGTTGTGGTTGTGGTTGGGGACCGAAAAAGGATTGTGGAAAGGAGTAGAAGACGTTCAAGTGGCCTGGTTCATAGAAGGAGGTAGGTTCCAATCCTTTGCAATATCTTGAGCATGTGGGCATGAACTGTTGGGATTTATATGCCCTAGCATAGCAAATTCTTATCTGGATTATAGTGACATATGTTCCTGACATATCTGAAATATTTATGATTTATATAATTGGTGAATTCAATGTATTATGTTTCGATTCACTATGAAATTGATAATGTCCCTGTGATTACGAGAAATATTTATATATATGTATGTGATGGCAATCAATGCATGATATATACATAGTAATTTTAAATTGTTCATAGTCGGTAATTATGGATGGACTCATAATTAATTAAGACTTGAACTGGATCCGCGTTAGGTTGAGATATATTGCGAGAGCCGTCGTATGTAATTGCTCCCTATCACCGTCATAGCATTTGACTCTTAAGAATGAGAAAATTATAGACTCTTTTATTAATTAATAATTACTTTGATTTGTTCGGCGGATTCTTCGGAATCCTTAGACCGATACTTTGGATAGTTATGTAATTAATAGTTAGAGGGTTATATTTTCAATATTTGCATCATTACTACTTGTATTTATTTTGTATTGATTATGGTTGATCACAAAGTAAATTCGAAGGCCTTCGTATGTTTTTAGACAAAATGATATATTATATATTTATTTATTAAATTATTATTTTTTATCAAACAAATGTTTTATTGTGATCAAGTCAGAAATAATCAAAGGTATCAAAATAAATATATTAATTAAGTAGTCGGATTGATGGCATTATTTATCCGATAACTAATTATGCATAGAGGGGTCAAAGTGCAACATTGACTTAGAGGTTATTTATTATTTAATTGGAGTTCAATTAATTTCTTTTAGTGGAGTAGAAATTAATTTATGAATTAATTTAATTGGGTTCATGGACCGGGCCAATCATTAATTCATTGTAACCAATAAAATAATAGGCCCAATGGATTCTCACTCATAGCCCAACTTGATATTGGAATCATATTAGATTTGAGACATATGAATTAGAGATGGAGAAGGATTTGTTGTTTCCTTTTCTTTATTTTTATATTGCCTATAAATATACATGGTCTATATATATTTTTGGGGGTGATTTTTATGAGAAGGAAAAAGGAATATATTTTCTCTCTCTAGAAAATTAGGGTTAGTGTTCTCATCTAATGGAGGCTCCCACATGCCTAATTTTCCAAGGTCATTCATGGAGGCTTATGAGTGATTCCTAAAGGCAAAACAATTACCAAGAAGATGGAGATCCATGAAAAAGGTGTCTAGCAAAAGGGATCTACAATAAGTGAGAACATTCACTTTAGAGGAGAGATCTAAGGTTTACTCAAACCTTGATGTAAGTATTCAATCTTTTAATTGAATGATACATCATGTTTTATTTTTGTATAAAACTTGTCTTTATGTGATGAATCAAGATTTATGAATTTAAATCCCTTGAAAAGTTTTTTAAAATTAGCACGTTTCCCAACAGTGGTATCAGAGCATGGTTTGATTCATTACTAGAGATCATGATTTTATGAAAATCATCATTCATGGATCCAAAATTATATTCATATATATTTTTATTGATGTATGTTGATGTATGATTTAATATGTTGATATATATTGATACATGATGATGTATGAATAATTGTGAATGAATGATGATGTATGGTTGGGCCATAGATGAAGTTTATAGGTTAAATTAATGTAATTTTATCTTTGGATGAATGTAATTAAGGCTTTGATTTAGCCGTTTGAAAGTTCAATAATGTAATTTATTTTTCCCATTGTATTTCAAGTTGTAAATATTTTTTTAAAGCCATGTAATATTCATCAAAGGATGCTATGAAACTTCAAGAAGGTCCAAAAGGGTTAAATTATGCTTCAGTAATTTTCTGGAATTTTTTCGAATTTTTTGGAATTTTTTGAGGCTTAATTTAATTTTTTGGGAATTTTTCTGAAATTTTTCGGCGTTTTTCCGGTGGCCGGAGGATCGCCGGCGGCGAGAAGAGGCGTCGGAGGAGGCTGGAATCAGATATGGTGCATAGAGGGTGAGCCTGGCGCGTGAGGAGGTGACATATGCTGGCGCGTGCATTGTACGCGCCAGCCAAGGTTGTATGACCTCCACGCGCGTGCAGGCGCGTGGAGGCTCGTCCTACGCGCGTGCCAGCGCGTGAGGGCGCGTCCCACGCGCCCCAGGCGGGTGCCAGCGCGTGGGGGAGCGTGCCTTCACCTGCAGCATGCCCCAGGCCCGTGTGGGGCCCTCCAGGCGCGTTCCAAGCGGTGTTTTGCTTCTCCCGGTGCGTTCCAGCCTTATGTGGGTGTTTGCAAGCCGATGGATGATCCTCACGCAATACTTAGAGTAGTTAAATGTTAAAAGCTTATTCCATTGGCCATTTTATTTGCTTTATCTGTCATTTATTTATTTATGCGATGTATGAAATAAATGGAATATATAATTGTTAATTAATTATTATTCATGCATTAGATCCATGATAATTATTTAAATGGCTTGATTTATATTAATTAAGTTGTGAAAATTAATTAGATTTGATTACTAATTAATTTGAGGACACCTATTGGGAAACACAAAATTATTTTTGTAAATTATTTTTAAAGTATGCTTCAAATTAAATATTAGTGAATCGTTTAAAGTCCAAATATTTTCTAAATTTAATTGGATTAAAATCAAGACGTTTTGCATGCATTATATCATGTAAATAAATAAATTCAAAACTCTAATTATGAATGATTAAAAATTGAGTGGGAGCGGGGATTTTTATACATTACCCCATGACCTTCGTTATTAAAATCATTGTAATTATATCTTCAAAAATAAGGCCCCACGCATGATTTGAAGAGTCTTAATATTACAAGAATGGTTATCTCATGAAAATAATAATATTAAATTTTCATTGTAATTAGATCTTTAAAAATAAGGCCCCACGCATGATTTAAAGAGTCTAGATTATAATGACAAAATCTTTAATGTTTTATTTTTCATTAGAGCATTAATAATGTTATACACTCAATCTAAAATCAATAGTGTTAGCTCCCCAACGGAGTGGTCTACACTAGGTGATTTTAGAAAGGCTAAACATAATCGGGAATCATTTCATATAGATAGACAAGGCATTGTCTTAAGAGATATGGAGATGATGGGATTTGCCCGCCAATAGCAATAATGAACTTCGCCAACCGAATAAGTTATTGGTGTATTGGTTATCCGATTTTTCATGCAGTGGTTAAGGGACCCACATACTATTTTAATGGAAGTGCTCACCTAATAGTAGATGAATCTCAACAATAGTAATAATGAACTCCTCCAACAGGATAAGTTATTGACATATTGATTGGTTGATTTATTTTGCTACAGAGTTGAGGGACCCGCATTAATTAAAAGGGATTGTTCACCAATAATGATAATGATCTCTTGTTCAATTGAGATTTATTATATTATGTGGTTAACAAACTCATTTTAATTTTAAATATGTACGACAGTATTAATAATTCACCTTGCATATTGTATGAATGTATTTATATTCAGATTAATTATGTCTAATCCAGTTTATCTGTTTGCTTACATATTCAATGTAACTGGATTTCATTAATATTGACTGAGAAAGGAACTTAGATATTTTATTCATAACGTAAGAGTACAAAATGTATTTAATACTCCTATACCTAATTCATTTACTTTAAGATACTTAATGAGATGTTTTAGTGAGATTAGATAGACAGTATGCCAAAGTACTATGTCAGACTTGAATAGCATCAAAATAGCCTAAGGAACTCCAGTATGAAATCGAATTTTGGAAAATGATTGTTTATTATTTAAAATTAGCTGGAGATCAAAAGGGCTGACTTGAGTGGTAAGTTTCAAGTTGACATGATTATTGCCTTGTTACCAAACTCGTTCGACTCTGTTAGAGTGAACTAAATAAGGAATCAGTTTGAGTTCACACTCGCTGAT